TCCGGGTTTGGAGGCAACTAGTTCAGGAGGATGGGTTTACGATGAAGTTTTGGACAAATGGTGGTCAGCCAAGCATCTCCAGGGCATGTTGCACCTTTGGGAGAAAGTTATTGGAGACCACCCCGACTCAGAGAACATCCTCGCTAAGTATGACTCTCTCAAGGCTCAGAACGAACCCGTGCATGATTCTGAGGAGGAGGAGGATGAGGAAAGCAAGGAGCAGCGCAGGCAGCAGGAGCAGCTCATGCGCGAGGGGGCAGATGGAGCAGGAGCAGCAGAGGAGGAACAGGCAGAAATGCTGGTCCTCAACACGGGCGACACAAAAGGGGACGCGGACATGCCGGATCGAGCTAAGAGAGCGTCAGAAGAGCCCGCCCCTAGAGCTCATCGTGCCCGGCTGTTGCCCCCGCCGCCCCCGCCTACTTCTTCAGCGGCCCCCGGTGGTACCCATATTCAGGATCTGGCTACCAAGAAGGGCTTTCGGAGCACGGAGGGGTCCACTAAGAGCCTTGCCAAAATCGCCGCGGCTTTTCGAAGTGGAACCGTCACAAGAAAGATCAAGCCATGCTTTTGATGCTCAACGTGCGCGGCGCGCACACCATACCACAAGTAAGAAGTGTAAACAGTTAGCGCAGCTTTCGGCATTAACAATGAATGCTTCTTGCTGGACTACGGCGTGCGACGTGTTAGAGTCAACGCAAGCCGACATAGTATTCATTCAGGAACACAAGCTGCTTTCTGAAAGTTATTCGAAAGTTGTGGCAACCCTTCAGTGCAAGGGCTGGAAAGTGTTCGGCACGGCAGCGGTACGGGGTCCACTCGGAGGAGCGTCCGGAGGCTGTTTTATTCTGATTCGGGCCTTCTTGGATGCTTGGATAGGGGAGCCAGGGCTGCAGGTAGTGCATGATGCTCGGATCTGCAGGTGCTTCTTGAGAACCAGGGCTTTAGGAAGTATTGCCTTGTTCTGTGTGTATCTGAAGTCGGGAGTGGGCCTCAACGACTTCAACGTTGCCCTCATCGACAAGATCGGGGCGGCAGTCCTCGAAGTTCAGTCGCACTCGTCTGTACTGATCGGGGGGGATTTTAACATTGACGTGTCATGTTTCAGGGAGCACGTTGACATCAGCTCATGGAGAGCCACGGTGAAAGCAGCAGTAGACCCGACATATGTGAGTGGAGAGCATCATTCTCACATCGATTACTTCATCATCGACACGAATCTGGCCTACGCAATCCGGGATAATATTTGCAACGCAGTTTAAATTCTTAAGCCAACACAGCCCTACCTGGGACAATGGCAGATTCCGTTGCACGATTTGTCTTAGGAGAGTCTCCCCAAACACCACAAAACCCTGTCAGGAGGTGGCCTCGCACATACAGGCGGCCATCGAAACGGCAGGGGAGCTGAGACACAAGCTGCAGATAGGTTGGGTCATAGGATCGCGCATGCCCATTGTTTTCTGTGCAGCCTGCGGAGGGTTCACGTCCAGCGTCCGCAGTCGTAAGCTCCACGCCAAGTGTACTGCGAAGGTGTCCTCGGAGCTCAGAAAGCTCCGTCGTGGCGAGGTCCCTGGTACACAACCGCTGCAGAGGTTTAAGAATGTGATGCCAGTTTAATGTGCGGCTACCCTTGAAACGGACAAGTCGGGAACCGACGTGCGCACTTTTGGAACTGGTGGGGGGGACATGTTCGTTAACAAAGCGTCCGGCTCCCGACAAGGCATCAACAAGTTAAGAACGAGCTGTTCTTCTAATATCTTCCCTCGCCTGGAGGGTGGAGAGCGCGGGGATGCCCTAGAGCGAAGGTTTGGGGTCTGGCTGAGCAGTTTGGGATCGGGAGGTGTCAGCAGGCAGGTAGCAGCAGGAATGGGCCCCCGCGCATTTTAATGTTCCCCTCACTCCCCTCCTCCTCGACGTCTCCGACAATTTCGGCGACGTCGGCGGCGCCCTGCAGGCCGCCGAGGAAGGAGCGAGGAGGGAGGAGGGTGATTTCCCAGGGGGCTGGCTTGCAGGTTCATCTCGCCTCTCCCTGGTCCGACCCTTTTTTATTTTCCTTTCGGTAGTTCTGGACCTCTGGTTTTGGACTCCGATTCTGGTGCTGGTGCTGGAGGAGGAGGAGGAGGAGGAGGCCCTCCTCCTCCTCCTCTCTTCCCTTTGGGGGTCAGGCCATCCACCCCTGCAGATCTGGCGCGCTCATGGCCGGCGGTGGTCCAGAACCCGTCGACCTCGAGTGGCGGGCTCGAGCGGAAAGCTGCGATCGCTCGAGGCCGAAAGATCCAGCAGTGGCAGGGCCCACGGCTCCCTAGTCGCCACAGCAGAGCGGCTGGGGGCTGGAGGCCGCGGCGAGCTGGCAGGGGCCAGGGGCGCGCGACTTTCCTTGGGAGGGCGCGGGGGGCTTCGCTAGGGTCTTCCTCCTCCTCCTCCTCCCCCCTCCTCCTCCTCCTCCTCCTCCTCCTCCTCCACCTCCTCCTCCTCCTCCCTCCTCCTCCTCCTCCCCTCCTCCTCCTCCTCCTCCTCCTCCTCCTCCTCCTCCTCCTCCCCCCTCCTCCCCTCCAGGAGGAGGGGGCCCCTCGTCTCCGCGTGTGGCGCGCCGCGCTGGCGGCCTGCGTGGAGCCGAGCCGCGTGAGATCGCCGCGTGGGCCCCAAGCAGCGGGGCGCGGGCCTCTCGGCCGCCCTGGGCCGAGCGGCTCGGGGCGGCGGGAGGCCCTGAGGAGGAGGAGGGCGGAGGAGGAGGAGCAGAGGAGGAGGAGGAGGAGGAGGAGGAGGAGGAGGAGGAGGAGGAGGAGGAGGAGGAGGAGGAGGAGGAGGAGGAGGAGGAGGAGGAGGAGGAGGAGGAGGAGGAGGAGGAGAAGGAGGAGGAGGAAAAGGATGCTTGCGTTACAAGTTTGTTCACGACCGGCCTTTTCGCTCACGCTCGGGCCCGGGGACCCTCGCAGATCGATCCGGCTCGACAGATGGCGCAGGAAGGTGGGGTCTATTATAGCATAGGGTTCTGGGCGTGTTTTTCTACGATGTTGCAATCGTTTCGCAACCAGCGTTTCCACTCAGTTTCGGGCCCGGGGACCCTCCCAGATCGATCCGGCTCGAAAAGCGGCACAGAAAGATGGGGTCTGCAGGGCTGCGGGCGTGTGTTTGTCTACGATGCTGCAATTTTTGCTGCAGCGTGTCGGATCCCAGGGGAGTCCCACGCGCCCAGAGGGAGTCGGCCAGGACGCAACGGCGCCCAGCGAGGGGAGGGAGTCCCGGGGCCCAGGCCCCGCCCGCGAGAGCACCCGGCGGGAGCTGGATGCGCGTGCCGCGGCCGGCCGTGGCCGCGCGTGTTTTTGTCCAGCGCTCGGCCCTGGCGTGGCCGGGCACCGTGGTCCTCCACACACACTCTCCGCAGCCTCCTCCTCCTCCTCCTCCTCCTCCTCCTCCTCCTCCTCCTCCTCCTCCTCCTCCTCTCCTCCTCCTCCTCCTCCTCCTCCTCCTCCTCCTCCTCCTCCTCCTCCTCCTCCTCCTCCTCTCCTCCTCCTCCTCCTCCTCCTCCTCCTCCTCCTCCTCCGCCTCCTCCTCCTCCTCCTCCTCCTCCTCCTCCTCCTCCTCCTCCTCTCTCCTCCTCCTCCTCCTCCTCCTCCTCCTCCTCCGCTTCCTCCTCCTCCTCCTCCCCCTCCTCCTCCTGCTCCTCCTCCTGCTCCTCCTCCTCCTCCGCAGCAGCAGCAGCTTCCGCATGCAGATCCAGCCATGTCTGCTTCCAGCCTCCTGGCAAGCTGAACGGGCAGAGACACTGTGTACGTGGCGGTACAAGCGGGAGAGCGCGAGAGGAACTTGCGCGCTCATGCACTCTTGAGTCTTGAGGTCTCCAAAGGACAGCTTGGAGGTACAAAAAGATGAGAAGGCAGGAGCTCGTGCGACAAACTGAGATTGCTTTATGGTGTTGGACGACTCTTGGGGACATCATCCAGAGGCTCCGCGGCCACCTCTGAGGGTCTTGTAGCGGTATTGGGGCCTGCTGGCAGAACGTCGCAAGATTTATTGAACGAATTTGGGTCAGCTTGCGCCATATGCGAGGACATTTCGGGATATGCAGGACAATTTTGGAGTGATATGGGGGCACCTTGGACGCCTGAACGCCCCCGCCCCGTCTCTCGTCGAGACCCAGTAGGGCCACGGGTCAAAATCCCAAACCGGAACGCCACTAGCTGTCTCGCTCAACCCCCACCCGCCGTATCCCCACATAAGCAGCACCCAGAACTCAGCATAGGCAGAGGTCGCCACAAGATGGACAACTAAGCAATTGGGAGCCAGTACAGACGCCAAGGGCGCGACGCTCGAGAGGTGCGCCACGCATGCCAGGTGCGCCACGCGCACCGGGTGCTCCAGGTGTCCCAGGTGCCAGTAATAGCCCCCTCTCCAAAAAGGAAGAAGGGAAATGGAAAAGAGAACCCCCGCTAACCATGGCGACGCCGCTCCTTCCCCGTGCTTGCCAGCATTTGCACACTGCTCGGCGTACAGCCCTCACGTGCCGCGCCCTCCCCAATCAGAAGTGCTCGCACGGCCCCAGGCCATGGCTCAAGGCCGGGGCTTGAGAAGTCTCGAGGGGGGGGGCAAGGAATGGCAGGAGAGGGGAGCGGAGGTGGAGGCGCAGCTGGAGGGGGGAGCGGCATTTGGCTGCAAAAAATCACTCGACCCAGCGCGGCCGACGCGAGGGCCACCGCGGTGCGCAACGTGGGCAGGAGATTCCGGACACTGCAGGTTAGGTGCAATCCAGCATAAATCACTCGGTGTGTCCAACCAGCGGCCCGATTACCCCTCCTCCACCGCCAGGTCGTGCCGTGAAATGCAGCGGCCCGCGCGTGGTTTGTGTCATGACTTGTCTTTCTCTTCCGCTTCATCCTCCTACTCCTCAGGCTCCTCTTCTGCAGCCGTGTCCCCCAAGTTGCGGAGTCGTTCTTCAGGATTCCGATCAACCTAACACTTGTTTCCGGTGATTGCTCTTGAGCAAGCCTTCACACTTTAAGATGCCTTGTATCAGCAATGTGGCGACTGCGAGCTTCGTGTTCGTCGGAGCCCAAGCCATGCAGCTGGGTGTTCACGACGGCCAGATGGGGGCGAGTGATCCTGCATGGTTGAAAGGAATCAGCGCGCATGGTGGGATTCAATGCACCGTCGATGACGAGTGTGTTGTCGGCTCTGGCGAGGGCTCTTGCACGGTGATGGTGGACCTCGCGGTGCCGATTCAGTTGGGCAGCACCGACTCTGGCAACGACTGCGAGGTCATATCGGATGATCCCGACATGACATGCCCAGCCAGGTTCGAGACGCCGCCATCGGACATCACCGTCAAGGGGAAGTCGGCGGCGTCGCATTGGAACCTCTGCTGGAAGCAAGATGCCCCCAGCACCCATCGCCGAGCCTATACCCCAGCCGTGGGGGATTACTGCTACTATGTCAACGGTATATGCTTCCTGTGGGCTTCTCCATGCTCTGGCGGGTGTTCCTCAGTCGATCTTTCCGCGCACACGTCGTTCTGCCCTACGTTGCGCTACGCTACGGAGGCGGAGTTCTTGACTGCTCTGCCTACCCTCAATGGAAATCGACCGACCTTCTATAGCAAATGCGCAGCCGACATATTTGATCCTTACTTCAGACATTGCGATTACATGAACGACTTCGTGCGAGTGGAGGACAACTCGTGGAACGAATTGGTCCTCGTATGTCCGGCAACGGCCCCCGCAACCGGTGGCGCCGGTGGGGCCCCCGCACTCGGTGGCGCCGGTGGGGCCCCCGCACTCGGTGGCGCGGGCTCTGCCGTTGGCGATCCGCACTTGCAGAACATCTACGGTGAGCGTTTCGATCTGATGAAGCCTGGTAAGCACGTGTTGGTTAACATTCCAAGGGGAGCTCTTTCGGAGAATGCGCTGCTGCAAGTAGAGGCTGAGGCACGCCAAATGGGTGGAAAATGCGCAGACATGTACTTCCAAGAGCTGAACATCACAGGGTCGTGGGTGGCGGCAGCGAAGCAGAGCGGCGGCCTTCACTTCAAAGCGGGCGAGATGGTAGAGGAAATACGGGGCGTGAAAACGACCACAGCCACTGCTTCTCTTTTGTTGCCGCCTTCCAGCCCGCAGAAACAAAGCAGTGGCTGTGGTCATTTTCGTTGAGCTTGGCACCAGGGAAATGACCACAACCACTGCTTCTTTTTCGGCCGGCTGAAAGGCGGCGCAAACAAAAAGCAGTGGCTGTGGTCATTTTCCTGTCCCGCAGGAAAAGACGAATTGGGAAGTGTTCGGGAGGGTGGAGCTGAAGGTTGCCCACGGCCGCACCAAGCAGGGCATCCAGTACCTCAATTTGTACGTCAAGCACCTCGATCGTACCGGGCTTGCTGTCGGCGGGCTGCTGGGAGAAGACGATCACTCGGAGGCGGCGGTCTCGCCCAAGGAGTGTGCGCAGACCCTCTCCCTCATCACGGTAAGCTCTGAGTGAGCCAGCGCATCCGTCCTCTTCTCGATTGAGGCAGGCCTCGCGCAGACACGGGCTCGGAACGGGCGGTTGTAGAGGCGAGCGTTGCCTCATCATCCCTCTCCTCCTCGCCCTGCTCTCGAAGAATAAAAACACGTCATAAATGATTAAGGTTGGAGCTCCGCGCGGACTTCTTAGATCTGCGCTGGGACCCCCTGGCGGTGCCTCTGGCGCCGCCCCTGGCACGCTCCGCGCACCAGAGAGGGGGCTTCCATCACAGACCCAAGAAGTCCGCGCGGACCTCCGAAAGTTGATGCTTACGCAGCGCTTTCTCCTTCTACTTCCACCTCTAGCACGGTCTCCTCCGCCTCCTCCTCGTCCTCCTCCTCCCTCCTCCCTCCTCCCTCCTCCGCCCTCCTCCTCCTCCTCCTCCTCCTCCTCCTCCTCTTCCTCCTCCTCCTCCTCCTCCTCCTCCTCCTCCTCATCATCATCATCATCATCATCATCATCATCATCATCATCATCATCATCATCATCATCATCATCATCATCATCATCATTTGTTCATCGTTCGCTCGCGCGCCTGCCATTCTCTACCCCATCCCTCTCCGCCTCGCCCTGTTCCCCTCCTCCTGCGCCGCCTCCTCCGCGTCCCACTCGCTTGCTCGCGCGCCCGCGCGCTGGAAAACCCACTCGAGAGAAAGGCCGAGACCCCGGGAATTCCGTCGTGAGGGCCAGGCCTCCCTCAGGCCCGTGCGCCACGAATGACAGCAGCACGAAACAAAAGCGAGACTGCTGGCTCCTCCTCCTCCACGCCATCCTCCTCCTCCTCCTCCTCCTCCTCCTCCTCCTCCTCCTCCCTCCCTCCTCCTCCCTCCTCCTCCTCCTCCTCCTCCTCCTCCTCCTCCTCCTCCTCCTCCTCCTCCTCCTCCTCCTCCTGGCCCGAAAAAAAGAGAGCCAATCCCTGGCCCGTGTCGGGCGGGGGGGTCGTTGGAGAGCGGACGCCTCTCGGCTACACCCAAGAGTGGCCTTCTGCGCGGGGTGGCCTTCGGTGAGCAGCTCTCGGGGGATCGCGGGGTGCCGACCGCGAGCCGCGCAGGCCGCTGCGGCCGCCGGTCGTGCCACGAACGGCAGCCGCTCTTGCCCACAGGGCCACTCCTGCGCGCAGTGGAGGGGCTGCGGTGGCGCACGCAACAGAGAGAGAGTCTGTCTCAGAGAGCGTGCCGGTAATGCAGGGCGCATGCCACGGACGCGCCTCGGCTCCGCCACGAGCGCGCTTCAGAAGGCACGGGCGGCCGCCGGCCCGTGAGCGCGGGGGGCGTCGGCGGCCACGTCCGCCGACGAGCGCGGCGCCGCGGAGGAGCGGCCTGCGAGGGGACCGTGAAGCGCGGCGCTGCTGGCGCCGCTGCGTCGCCCGCGGGAGCGCCGCCACCTCGCATCTGCTGCAGGACGGGCGTGCTGACGATTTTGTTGAAGGCCTGCGGGAGGAGAGGGTGGAACCCTGCCCAGCTCCTCTCGCGTTTTGGCCTTGCGACGCCCGCTCAGCAGTCACAAGTTGCTGGGTGAGTACCTGTTTGTGTGAGGCGGCTGGCTCAGACGGCCGCTTCCGTTGAGCACAGTACAGCACAGGGAGCCGCCCGTCGTGAGGCCGCTCGTCGCGAGGCAGCCCCCGCGCGACGGCGGGGCCCGCCCCCCTCTGCGGGGGGCGGAGCCGCGGCGCGGTGCGTCACCGGCCCGCTCGCGGGGAGGCCTCGCGCGCCGCGGCGGGCGCCCCTGGGGCACGCGTATTGGGAACGAGTAGGAGAACGCTGCTCGGGACACGCTGCGAGCTCAAGCAGGGCGCTGCGAGGATGCCTGACTGGGAGCCTTGGAGAGGAGCTGGCGTAGCCTTGCCTACCGGCCTCTTATCTACAACCCTCTCAGCTCTCCGAGGAGCTATCCGGGGCTTCGGTCTCCGGCAGTGGGTGGGGGCCCAAGGCTGGCGCCAGGCAGGCTCAAGCCGTGCGGAAGCATCCCTGATCGGGCAGTGAGCAGTGGGGGCCCAAGGTTGGCTCAAGGCAGGCCCAAGCCCTGCGGAAGCATCCCAGATCGGGCATGGAGAGAGCGTCCCCGTTTCCCTGCATGCTGCCACACGTATCCTCTTCACCCTCCCCTCGATCGCAACCACAGCTATGGCGCAGCGCTTCTGTGTGTGTGCCTGGCCCGCGTTGACGGCCTCGCAGTGCCCAGCAAGGACGTCTGCACGGCGCACACATACTGAGTGCCAAGGAACGCCCGCGAGTCAAGGTTGGAAAAAGGTTCCTGTCAGTGGAGGGATTGCACTGGCGCGTGTCTTGCACCTGGGGACCACCCTCGCGCAAGTCGGTGATGATTTTACGCTCCCCCCCCCCATGCGACACTCAGGAACGCTTCGGGATACAATGCCGATCATGGGAAAAGGCCGCGGGGTCCACGACCCGCCTCAGCCAGGGCCCATTGTTGCTCCATCGCGCCAGCAAGACGAAAGGCCGGCGCCGCCGTCCACGGGCCACGCTGCACGGGTGTCGCCGAGCGCGTTCCACCACTCGCGCAGCGCCTATTCGCAGACGTCCAAAAAACACATGTCTGCCTCGAGGTGATGGATCGTGGATCGTAAATCCCCTGCGCCGGATCCAGGCCGTTTGCGAGTAGGAGCTATTCTTCGAGTGGCGGAACGCGCTTGTCTAGGGCGCGCCCGAGTCGACCCTCCACCTCGCCCTCGCTCCTGCCAGGAGAGGAGAAATGCTCGCCGTTCCCCTGCCGCGTGCGCGCGCGCGTGGGCCGGCGAGCTCGACGCCGGCCGTGCTCCTTGGCGCGCGGGGGCCAGCGAGCTCGAGGATCTCTGCGGCGTCCGGGCCCGGGCCCTGGATCTCGCCGAAAGCCAGGCGCGCCCCCCCGATCGCCGACCGCGGAGCCCCGCACCTCCCGAGTCCTTGGCATCGCTCGGGCGCGCGCATGCCTGCGGGGGGGGGGGGGGGCGAGGGCCCCCCCCCTCGGAGGAGACTTTCTGTCAGGAGGGGAGAAAAAACACACAGACACAAGTAATCCTCGATCCCCCGGAAAATATATGGAAAAATATGGGAAGTGGGGGGGAAGACAAAAGCCCCGAAAATACGGGAAAATATGGGGGGATCCTTCTATTTGTGTGCATTTATTTGCGTGTCCTCGGGCCCCTTCATTCTGGGCCACCCTGCGGCAAAGGGCGCACGCGAGGCCGACGAGCGCGCGGGGGGCGTGGGCGCCCGAGCGACACGGCGAGGAGCCAGGCCTCCGCGCGCAGGGGCGCTCCGTGACAGGGCCGCGGCCGGCCCCCGGCGTCGCCCCCCTCGGTGTCAGGAGGGAAAAAACACACAGACACAATTAATCATCGATTCCCAGGAAAATATGGGAAAATATGGGAAGTGGAGGGGGGAAGACAAAAGCGCAAAAAATACGGGAAAATATCTGGATTTTGTTCTATTTGTGTGTGTATTTATTTGTGTGTCCTGGGGCCCCTTCACGGAGGGCCCCCCGAGGCGCCCGTGTCAAGCAGTGGCGGAGCGTCCCGGCGTGCCTATAGGCCTACCAGACACTGTTATGAGAGCCATGTGTGGCTTCCACGGAATGTTCTTAGAACACGTCTGGCTGGGGGATTATCTTGTTTTAGCGCACCGGGCTTCTGTTCTAAACTGCTTGTGTTTCTGGAACATGTTCGGGTGCTAAGAACATGTCGTGGTAGGCCTATAGGACTGCCGGGACGGTCGGTCCCTGCGCAACCGCGGCGGGAGGCGCCCGCGCTCGGCGGGAGCTCGCGAATTCCAGCGCCGCCCTCGCCACCGCTCCACTGCCCCGTCTCCCTCGCCGCCTCCTTCTTCTTTCCGTCCCTCCGTCCTTTTCATGGCGCGAACCTCGCAGAGCGGATTTCGCTCGGAAAACAATGGGATGGGCCCAGACTGTCCTGGAGAATTCTTGACGCTTCGTTATCCCCACCAGACAGGTGCCGTTCGGAGACTGGACCTGCCAACAGCTGCCCCGGCCCAGGACCTAGCAGCGCCACAGCTCTTCGGAGGGGTACTACGGGCTCCTCGCCGCCCCCACAGCCCGGGGACTGTCGACAGCGTACGGGTCAATACTCGTGCCGGCACGCGTTCGCAGAGCAGCGTGGCCAGCAGACGTGCTCGTCGCCACGGACAGTGTTCTCGGCACCCTTGGGACAGCAGAGATTGGTGCCCCCGGGCGCTCCCCGGTTCCCTAAAAGCAGTATAGACACTCGTGAGCAGCAACGGGCCCCCTCAGCCACCTGGCCCAAGGACGCTCCCAGTTCCCGACATGCACTGCTCATACGGCCATCAGCCGTTCCCGGGCACTCCTTCTATTTCTCTCTCTCTCTCTCTCTGTCCTCTACTAAGAAATGAAGGGACGGCCATCAGCCGTATGTACCTGCAGTCTCCGACGTGCATTGCTCATACGGCCATCAGCCGTCCCCTGGCACTCTTTGTCTCTCTCTCTCTCTCTCTCTTTTTCTCTACCGGGAAAGGACGAGGCGGCCATCAGCCGTGGGCCCCTGGCGTTTCCAAGCGGTCCGACCGCCCTGGCTTCTCTAACCACGCAGTGTCCCGTCCCGGCTACGCTTGCACCTTCCAGTTGGTCCAGCTAACTACAGGTGCCATTCGGTGAGTGGACTTGCCAACAGCAGCCCTGGCATAGGACTTAGCAACGCCACAACTCCGCGGAGGGGCACTACGCCTTCCTCGTCGCCAAGGCTTTGCGCCTCCGCTTGGAGGCCGTTGACACCAGCGGTAACTTGGACGCTGACGGCCATCAGCCGTACCCTGGCCCCTCGCCTCTCCCCTTCCCTTCGCGCTCTCGTGCGGCGGTCTTCCGCTGCGTCTGGCCTTGCGCTGGCGTGATGCGCACAGCCCTGGCTAGTTGCTCACAGTTCCCCACCCTGGCAGAAGGCTACACAGTCAGCCCGCGCCGCAGCGCACTGGGCGCGAGCAGGCTCCGCCCGCGCCGCGGCAGC